TTCCTGTTGTACAGTTTTAAGGACACAGGGTCCTTTTAGTTATGCTGTATGTACTCCAGGGGGCAGTACAGCATCACAGTTAAAAGCATAGAACCCAGAGTCAATCTACTTGCTTTAGAATGTCAGCCCTAACTTGGGCAAATTATTTACACTCTCCAAGTCTCAGTTTCTTCACCTGTAAAAGAGGGGCAATAATAGAGGCCACTCCAGAGGCTTGATGGAGAATTTAGAAGTACTGCAGCATATAAGACGTGTGGCCTGTTGCCTGGCATATGGCAAAGCATTCAGTACATGCCAGCTGTTATTATTGTCTCATCAGCCTGGGGAGGTAGGCAGGGCAGTTTTTATTAACGCTTTTATGCCCCTGGGAAGGCTGACTTTCAGAAATGTTAAATGACTTGGTCTGAGGTCACAAATCCAGTAAATGACAGTCAGGACCCCAGGTGTCCTGGCTCTGAGTCCAGTGCTCCTTCTATTCTCAGAGTGGCCTCTGGGATGAGTGGTATTTCCCTTGGGGACCTGCCTTTCATGTCTGTGAATTCTCTCTCCTTCCTGCTGCTCCTCCTCTTACCAAAATTCTGCCTGGTGCTTTCTCCAGAAACCCCAGGGCCAAACTTCTGCCCGTTGCTCAGAGGCTCTGGGATGCAGGTCTCTCCGGAGGGACCAGGAAGGGCACTCAGCGGCTGTGAGGCTGGTGGGTTCATCCATGCAGTGCGAGCACTGAGCCTTCAACTGGGTGTTCACCTAGATGTCTACTGAGTAGAATTACTTCGAGTCCCTCCAGCTTGAAATAAGACCTATCATATGTTTATGCATTTGAAAACTGCAGAATCATTTAATTCTTTCTTTTTAAAAACAACTTGTTTTTTTAAATTATTTTATTTTATTTTATTTTATTTATTTTTATTTTTGGCTGCGTTGGGTCTTTGTTGCTGCGCACAGGCTTTCTCTAGTTGCAGCATGCGGGCCTTCTCTAGTTGCAGCAAGCGGGATCTACTCTTCATTGCCGTGTGCAGGCTTCTCATTGTGGTGCCCTCTTTGTTGGGAGCACGGGCTCTAGGCACGCGGGCTTCAGTAGTTGTAGCACACGGGCTCCGTAGTTGTGGCTCACAGCCTGTAGAGCGCAGGCTCAGTAGTTGTGGCGCACGGGCTTAGTTGCTCCGCGGCATGTGGGATCTTCCCGGACCAGGGCTCGGACCCGTGTCCCCTGCGCAGGCGGACTCCCAACCACTGCGCCACCAGGGAAGCCCAGAATCATTTAATTCTTATAACAGGTATTGTAATATGATATTGCTGAAAAAATACTAATGTGTTTTTACACTGTTACTCTTTCTACAAAAGATTATTTCTCATCCAAGGCCTCTGGGCTTCTTGCTTTTATATATCAGCAAGAATATTCCATTTTGTTCAATGAAAGCACTGGGTTTCATTCTTCTTTGATGTCCAACGAATTGTCAGGGTAGATGCTAGTGCTTCCCTATTCTGTTTCCTCTGGAGTAGTAATTTCTGAAGTGAAAGCTCTTTCACTTGTTGGCTAGGTAACTCTAGGTAGGTTACTAAACCTCTCTGAGCCTTCGTTGCCACATCTGAAATGATAATTATCTGACAGAGATTATAAAGGGTTCAATGAGATGATATGTATAAAGGACTTAATATAGCACTCTCCCTGACATTTATGAGGTGCTTGATCAGCCTGAGTTTGTATTTACCTTGTGTTTCTATAGTCCTTCACACTTATCCATCTGTAGTCACATTTATTATTTCATTTTCTTCTGACCCTGTGAAGCACATGGGACCAGTATTAATTTGAAATATGGATAGATATGGCTAAATTGCTTTACAAAACCCTTATCAGTTTATACTCCCATCACCCCTGTGTGAAAATCCCAATTTACTATCTTTACTTAAGCATATCACATATATATATATATTTATATATATATATATAT